TCAGCCTCTGAGATCTCCGTGAGGTTGAAGCCCACGCCCTCCATGATCTGGGTGTGAGTGTCAGCCTTGGTGCCCAGCGAGAGCGAGCCCAAGGCCGTGGCGATGCTCACGGGGGAGAAGAAGATGTTGGCGGTGTTGGACTCATGGGCCAGCACACGGTAGAGGCTAAAGGCAAACTCTGCCAGGTTCGGGGCAATCTTGTGGGAGGCTGAGTTCTCCTGGTCATGCTTGGGTGCATCTGACTCCTCAGAATCCTCAATCAGGCAGCCAGTGGCCAGGCAGCTGAGGCCGGCCAGCAGCAGGAGGCCCCACGAGATAGAGGATGGCATCATCCTGCAAGGCAGAGGAGGTCAGTGGCCTGAGTTCAGCCCACAGTGACTCTCTCTGGCTTGGACGGATACCATGCAGAGCCACCAGGTGTAGTGAGCTCCAAGATGGCCCACCTTTGCCAAGTGCTTCCTCCACCTGCATCACTGCAAACCACCAGGGATATGCAGAGCTGCCCTGAGCCCTAAAGGGTGTGAATTCTCTGCTTCCTTCACAGTCCTGTGGGGACAACTGCTCTCCTCCAAAGCCTAGAGGAGTTCCAGTGCTCTTCCATTGTCAGCCTCCAAGTGGAGTAGGGGACCAGCTCAGGCACTGGCCTGCAGGGTCCTGAGCCACCCCCCCTCTGCCCTTCCACTTGGCAGCTGCAGTGACCTTGAAGCTGTGTCCTGTGTGGAACATGCTGCCTGCAGAGGAAACTCCTTGCACTTGGACCCCTTGAGGACAATGTGGAGCTGTGCTAGAGCCCCCAGGGTCTGTCCCCACCTGGCCCTGAGGGCGCCTCAGCCCTGAGTGAAGAGGGGCAGGCCTAGGCTGCTCTGTGACCTCAGCCTCAAGGTGTGTGCACATCCTGTATGGTTCACCTGCTGTCATGTTGGTGGTGGTGACTTAGAATAAGCAGCCAGTGCAGGAAAAGAACATCAATCAGGTGCTGACAGACACACCTGTCAATCAGCCGGATCTCCTGACTAACACCTGTCAAACAGCAGGACCCCCTGACCAATCCTGGAGTTCAGCCAGCTCCCCTGACCAACTCCAATGGGACAAGGGATCCAAAAATACCTTTTCCTGTCCCAAGCCTTTCTTTTCTTCTATAAGCCCCATGAAAGTCCAGAGTTTCTGAGTTCCCACTTGGTTTCTCCTCAAACCCTTAGCTGTGCACTCTGTGGTCTGATCCAGTTCCAACCAGGAGTGATATCTCAATAAAGCCTCATTCAGAGGCTTTTAAAATCTGCCTCCTTTGGTCCTTGCCTGCCCTTGCCTGATCTGACACCTGCCATCCTGCTGCCACTCATGTCCTGACACTAGGGGAGCTGGAGGGCCCTGTCCCTCCCCAGCTGTGTGAGCCAGGACAGGTTATTAGAACTCTCTGCTCCTTGTGTGGCCCACATATAAAGTGGGGGTTCTGGGGACAATTAAAGAATTCTCAACCCCAAAAGTGCATTGAAGGGCTCCTAGGGAGTGTCCCTTGAGTGAAGCACTGGTGTGTGTTGCCAACTCTAAGCCTTTGCGTGACCTGCTGGGTCTGTGTTTCATGGCTGAGGATGAGGCAATAGCGAGGGGCAGGGCCTGTCCCTGGACCAGGGGGAGGAGGCTCTGCTAGAGGTGGTGAAGGGCAGTGTCACCCTCAGCCACACGTGGACAGCCATGGAGCCCTGACCCCAGAGCTCCCTAGGCTCCAGCCCTGACCCCAGAGCTCCCTAGGCCCCAGCCCTGCCCAGGCCAGGACCC